GCCCTAAGTTTAGGGGATCTCCTAAACTCAGAACTCCATGTTTCAGGTTAAACTCTTTGATTCAGGTTAGACTGCCCTCAAATATACTTCCAGGTCACCTCAACTGTAAAGTCAAAATTTTGAATTTCCACTGTACTGCTGCCAAAAAGTCAGAGAATATGTAGTCTTGAGAAAAACAACTCAAAACAAATTGTTGCCCATAGAATTCCTGTAATTTTCTTACATTACTACTTTTGTTTGATGGCATCTGTGCAACGGAAATCCCCCCCAGACAAAGTCACCCCTGTGAAAAATATTAAGGGGGTAAACCCAGCGGCCCGATCAGCTCCAATTATTTGCCTGTTACTTGGTTGACCACATTTCATTTATAGAGCAAATCCTACATAGGCTTTAAAAATGCACTTCAGAAACCAATGGGTGATGTCACTGAGGCAACGTCCATGTTTTATACAGCCTATGTTGGAGACATGTCTACAAATAGTAGTTATGTTATGTTTGGGTTTGAGTTACTTTCTCCCATATTGCTTCCACTCTACTGATTAAAATGTAACATGTTGTAAAAAGTGCAAAGTTTAACCAACCTTTACCTTAGTAAGACAAAGTTCAGAGGTATATCAATGCTACATCTAAAAGCAAGTTTAGGTGCAGACTGCAGCAGCTTTGCAGCTTTGCAGCTTTGCAGCTTATGTTATCAATCAATGACAACAATGGTCAAAACTTTAAAGATAAGGTTAAAAAGTATGGCTTCTTAAAAACACTCCCATTGTGGAATGTGTAAGAAAGACTTAAGAACCTGCATAGATCTTCCTCTCTTTGTCATTTCTTTCTTATTAGTTCTTTCATTCATAATTAATTTGCTCATTATTTGGCCAAGAGGTGGTGCTGATTTCAGAATGTATTACATTCATTCATTTCCAATTTAGTTTCACAACTGCACTCTGTCTTCACCCAAATTGAGCCAATATTCCTCCAGTGTAAAATGAAGACACGCACACACACACACACACACACACACACACACACACACACACACACACACACACACACACACACATCAATCAGCTGCACCGCTTATTCTTAACTCACAATGTGCGAAAGTGGACCTGGTCAATATCGGCCTTGAATTTTCAGGAAGTAACAAGATCACACATACACACATCTATGGTCACTGTCCTTTCCTCACAGTCAGTCACAGTTATTAAATTGAATGCTGAGTGCTGGAGATGTGTAAACTTAGCAGCTGAAAAAACAGAGGTTGTGCTCACACTATATGAGAACACTTTCACACCTGAAGTGAAGACTCTGGCCAAAGTGTCATCAAAGCACGACAAGGCTCCAAAAACAGAACTGATGGATGGTAGAATGACTCTCATCCCTTACTATAAGTGTTAGCAGCAGAGGTTCATGCTATAGTCTAAATAGTTCTATATAGAATTCTATCTGCAGTTTGTCAGTAAACTGCCTGATTGGAATATGCCACACATAGTCGCCTTGACATTTCAATGCAGGAATGGTCTGACACAAGTGCTGCAGATAGTAGTGAGAGAATTGAAATGATGGAGCTGCTTTGCAAACCACTTCATAAAGACATTTCAATTCCACCTATAGTAAATATTGCTTTCTTGTTTTTTTTTTGTTACCAGTATAACCTACATACTGGAAAAGGTTGAATCTTAAACTGATATATCCATGTTATAGGTTGACAAACGTATTGGTCAGACTGTAATATATTAAATTGCATCTACTTGTGTAACGTTTCAGACTTGGTGAAACAGCAATGGAGCAGCAGAAAGCCCTGTGAAAACCTGCTTTTCTGTATACAACTTTTAAGATTTGATTTTACAATACGGGGCTATTACGCTTGACAGGCACAATGTTTCATAGCAAGAGTTGCCTTTTTATTAATAGTGGGAGTCCAGATGGCAGACCCTGTGTTAAATCTTATACTTCTATCTGACATGAGTATCTGTCAACACAACAATCACCCTTTCTGTTCCTGGCAGTCAGTCTGCGCACTGCCCAGGAGCTTAGTCTAGTGGAGAAAATTATACTTAATTCACTTGAGAGCTTTTCAGTGTAATACAGGAGGACTGGAAAAACTTGTAACAGAGGCTTAGGAGGCAGCAAGAGAGAGACACAATTAAAGACAGAGGATCAAAACAGGCTGTGCCAAGTGTTATTTCTCTGACTTTAGATTTTTTTTTTTCTTGGACAATGTTCCTTTTAAAATGGATGGGTTGTCTTTAAAGCAACTATACATACTTGCATCCAACCTCTTTAGATCTCTCTTAAACAGTATCTATTAATAGTCTTTCCCTCTTTCCACATAGCCCAGTTTCCACCAAGCAGTGTGGTATGGATCCCTTATTTTGGTACCATTCCAAACTTGGGCACTGTACCGCACTGAAATGAACCGGACCACTTGAGTATGAAACAGGCTTGAGTATCCTTTTGCCCTCCTTCCTGTTTTCAGCTCCTTTTCGTATGCATTTTGCTCACTGCCTCTATCTGTGTCTTCCATTGAGTGTTTCTGCTGTTTCCGTTATCACTGTCTCTCTTCCTCTATCGCTGCGTTCATAAATCCAAACCTGTCAATCCTATCTCTGCTTTTAAACACACTCACTCTCACTCTTTACACTCAGTGGCGTTACTAATCACAGAGTTGTATAATAAACTCTGTGATTTGGGAGTTTGCTTGTAAGTGTGTGAGTCACACAAGACTTCACTAGAAGTGTTGCTCTTAAGAAGCTTGATAAGAAGTGTCTGCTGAACCTGGAGGCAGCTAACTCAGGATACTGCTTCTACTGTAATCTAGTGCTCCTGTCATTTCAATATATTCAAGCATAGCAAAAATGTGTGTGTCTGTGTGTGTGTATACGCTGGTGTTAGAGAATGCAAACACTGCAGAAGTATATTAAGATATGAGTGCTACAGATTAAGGATGACAAGTATTTCATGACCCAACCATAACCCTGGAGTAAAGCAAAGCTTTTTTTTTTTACAGGTCACAGAACTTGAATCCCTTAAAATAACACTCAACAGCGACAGAATACACAGAACCTATCAATTGGGTTAGTGTGACAGCAATATTTTGACAGCAGCCTTTACATGCTGGGCTAATTTCCCAATTTGGCATTTCATTTTCCAGCCTGTTATCAAAGTGATTTGTTTATTTGTTTTTGTTTTTTTTTCTTGAGAAGGATCCAGAGGACACTTGCCTTTGTAGTCTGTAAGGGTTTTAAAATGTACCGGCTGTCACTGCTGACTCTGTCAACTGTAGATCAAGAAGGATGTGAGTCAGTGACTGGTTGGATGCGAAATCAAATAAACTTAATATCATATCAATACCATTGGCTGACCTCCCAGAAGTATTTTTTTTTCTGTTACAATTATTTCTGTCTGACATAAGTAATGGATGGGACTTACAGATAAGGCCACAACAAACCTCTCCTCCATTTTTTCCATTAGCAGTCTGAAGTGTCCATAACACTGGCTACACACAAATTCAGGGGTAGCATCCTTTGAAGGACCCTTCCCCCTTTCTCTCATGCCCAACTTAAATGAGATGGTCTAGTCCAGAGAGGATTTACTGTTTGTGTCAATGGTTTTTTTCCCCACTTACCATTTTGTTACTAAGCAAAGCTCCTGTCACCTAGCAACCTCAAAAGTTTCACTGGCTCTGGGGAAATTAACCAACGTCACATAACATCACCCATTATTTTAGGGATAATTGTAAGTTTCAATGCCCCAATAATCATTTGTTAGCTTTTCAACTGAGTTAAAACCAGTTACTTACATTTAAAAGTATAATCAGCCGCTTGCACTGGTACGTAATGAATCAGGGAATATGTTGGGCCACAAAGGATGTACCAAAAACATCCTTCATGGTTTGAGCCACATTTAGAGAAGCCTTCAAAATGGCAACATGGTCATATATTCTGGGCTTTTTTTGCTTTACAATTCTACTGGGAGGAAATCTTCGGATCACTTGTAAAGGTAACTGATGAATTGATTGAATCTAATCATAGTGAGGCAAAATGTTATGTGGATAAAGCTTGTTCTAAAACAAGGGTGAGCCTTGTGTTAGCCTTCACCCACAGATGCAGAGTTGACCTGTTTTCTATTGGACAAGCAGGTGCTAAACACCGGCGGTTAGCTTGTGCTAGTGTGAGGTAGCTTGCATTGTAGGTACAAGCAGTAAACGTACACACTACGTCCTGCAGTGTGTATTAGGGGCAATGAGACAAGAGGAGAGGCCCGGTTTAAATGCTTTGTATGTATGACCATGTTATGGTCTGTATTAAGATGTGTGTGTGTGTGTGTGTGTGTGTGTGTGTGTGTGTGTGTGTGTGTGTGTGTGTGTGTGTGTGTGTGTGTGTGTGTGTGTGTGGGGTGGGGGGTGGGGGGGTGTAAATTGGAAAAGTTTAATCATTACCAAAAAGCTTATAACTTACCTGTTAAAAGGATCCTAATAGATTCTTTAAGGGATAGTTGGAGGAATTTTAAAAGGCCCACCTAAAAAAATTATCAACTTTACTTTTGAAAGTGTATTCTATATTTAAAAAACTTGCACTTTCCTTTGACATTACTTTTCCTAAACTTCCAAATGTTGTTTTTTCAGGAATGCTGTCCACTTCTGTTTTACACACTCTGAGTACATCATGTGAGTCTGATCTGTTCAGGAAGAATGGAAGCAAAAGTATCAGTGAATAGGGCCCTCGATGTTAACAACACTTTTCAACAGCTGGCCTAGGATCTAGCCTCCCAGGCACTACAAACAAACAAATATCAAACAGCCAAAGAACAGTACTTCCTCACCATTGGAGACTGGTTCATTGATATGAAGCAAGAGAGAAATTCAGCTTGGAACTTGAGGAAGTTTTGAACTTCAAAACCAGAGTTTGTATCATTTTGCAGCCAACCCACAAACTAATAATGGAACATATCACAGCAATTTGGCAGATTATTATACTAATCATTCCCCAGTATTAAAAGGATATGGACTGGAGACCATGCGGATGCACAAACTGCGAGGACAGGTGGTCTGTTTGAGGCAGAAGAAAACCACAGGAACCAGCTCAGGGTAGGGCACAACTAACACACTGGTGTCACTGCTGGCATCTTCGTCTCCATCGTTCCCATCACACTCCACCGCCTCCTCATACTCATCCTCCTCCTTCTCAAGCCTCTCTCGCGGAATTATCTCCTCCTCTTCTTCTATTTCCTCCTCTTTCTCCTCCTTTTCCTCTGGACATGGGAGGTGGTACGGGAAGGGTCTGCAGGGGGAGGAGGGAGTGATGGCATCATTGCTATCGCCCTTGGCTGTGGTTGCTGTTACTCTTGAGACTGTCGCTGCTGACGGTGAGGTTGCTGTTGATGTTGCAACGTTTGGGCCCTCCTCCTCCTCGCTCGTCATGGCAACGCAAAGGTCTGGGAAGAACGAAACAGAGAATAGAGAGAGGGGGACAGAGAGAGAGAAAATAGTTTAAATTTACAAACCCCCACAACAACAACAACAGATTAGAAAGCAGCTCAAAGCCGATCAGCTCAACCAGATAAACAGCACTCTATGTTCTCACACTAGAGAGAGACCGAGCAAGCCAAAATAACTAAAGCCATGAAGAAAGACTCAAAAATCTAATCTGCATAATTTACAACCAAAAGCACTTTGAAAATGTAGGCTGAAGGTCTTTGAATTTGGTAAAGTTACAGAGAGATAACTGATATGGTTTGGAGAAAATTTGCTTAAGTGTTGGTAGGAGAGATGAGAAAAAACATGGTTGTTAAAGTTGATGTCACAAACTTTTACAATCCAACACCAAGGCTGAAAAGGGGACAGGGCAGGCACTAAGGGATTTGCACAAAAAACAAACAAAAAAAACAACAGCATCTTAATGACAACAGACAATCACAATGCTTTTTCCAAAACTGTGTTAGGAACGTACAACTCTACGGCAAGAAGCAACAGTGATCAGTATCAATTTTCTTTATCATTTGTTTCTATCTTGACAACGGCAGAACCCATCTTTAAATTATTTATTAAATAATCTTCTCGATTTAAATTTATTGGCCGATTTCATTTACTAATGTTGTGTCGCATATTCCATTGATGGCTGGTGATTGGTGTACTGCTTACATGAAAGATGAATTACCTGAAAAAAAAATCTGTGTTTGCAGGTATAACAGGCTTAATGTGGACATGCGTTTATGGTGAAAGCTTACAATAGAAATAGAGAGACTATCTCCCATCAAACAAATCAGTGCATTCAAGAAACCACCTGTGGGTTTATGACATGGATTCTATCATCAAATAACGAAAAAAGCTAATCCTGAAAAATAAGGGAAAGGACATGTTAGGAGGGAGAGTTCAGTGGTTAAGTCAGAGGCTTAGTGTTGAATAGAATCAATAATGTGTAGCCAGAGAGAATAGAAGAAGCAGGAGTCCTGGTATGACTGAGTGGCACCTGACCATGGATTTCCAATGAGTGAGCAAGTACACAATTCCCCACAGATGCTACTTATCGTCCACCCCAGTCACAAGTCAAAGCTTCAGGAGTTGCATACAGAACACTGTGTCTATCCGAGTTACTGGTTTTGTTTTTAGGTCATTTTCTATGACAGCAAAAGCGATGCGAAATAGTGTTCCTTTTCACTTAAGCAGTATGGAGTACTTCTGTCTGAGCAGCAGAGCTAACTCTGGTAAAAGCTGGCAGAAACATGCTCACAACAAAGAAATGAAAGCCGATACAGTAATTACAGCAGATACATGGGAAATATATTGTAAAGGAAAACTCAATTCTAACAAAGCAGTTTATGTTGCTAAATCACAGCAGGGGCCCAGAATAGAGTCCTCGGTGTAAGAATTCTGAGCATCTGGCTGAGTAATCATTGAGTCATCGTGTGATAACATCAAACTTCACACAACCCTGTGGGGAAATTAGCTGGTTCCCGCAGCAGAGAAAAAAAGATTCCTGACATGGAAGAGAAAAAAAAATAGACTTCAACCAAAACATAAAAATAAACGATGTGTGGAGTGTAGGTTAAAACAAATAGATACATCTAAAACATAATATTAACAGATGCATATTTACAAAGCTATATCTTGCTAACAATAGCAGTCAGCCTTCTATTGCATGTTGCGTTTTATTAAAGGACTCGCAATGCTTGTTTGCTTGTTGTTAGATGATAGATTTGTTACTCTAGGTGTATAAAATGCATCATGAAGCAAACATGACATTCATTATGATTGTCAAAAAGAAAACAAATAAGCAGAGCTTCGAGGTGTGGATAACTGCTCAAAAGTAAAAGTGTCCATTGGATGTGAAACTTGAGTGTCAATAGCTTCTCTTGGATATGCAATGAAGTGTAAATTCAAAATACTTTCCACCAAGATGCCATTACATTTGTAAAGACTCTGCCGTTCCTGCAGTGCTCACTGTTATAAAGCCACAGGTGGGGGCGTGTGTAGAACTGCCAGGCAGAGAAGGATGAACAGGGAAGCAGAGGAAGCCTCCATCATGAGAACAAGAAGACTGAGGCTGTATTGGTAATGAGCATTAGAGCTAATGATACTGTAGCATAGCAATGAGAGAATTAGCTCTATAGTGTGTCATAATGTCAGTGACATAAGGCTGAGGGTTACCTTAAGGATGTATGAATCCCTATGTATCCAAATATTAAACAGTCATTTGAGGCACCCTCAGTGTCAATGACTACTGAAGGACTTGGGGAAATGTAATTCTTGAGAATCAAACGTTTCTTTATTGCTTTGCAGTCCTAAAGTATGAGGTGCTATAATAATAATAATAATAATAATAATATATTGTTTTTTTAGTAGCGCTTTTCTAGGAACCCAAAGACGCTTTGACAAAATATAAAACCATAAAACAAAACAAAAAAGTAATGCAGGGGGGGGGGGGAGTTAGTGGTTGTAGGCAATGTAGAAGAGGTGAGTTTTGAGGGATTTCTTGAAGGAGAAGAGGGGAGTTTCTGATGTTTTTTGGGAGTGAGTTCCAGAGGATGGGAGCAGCAACAGAGAAAGCCCTTGCAGGTTGGTCCTGCAAGGGGGGGGACAGGAGGTTTGCATCTGCAGACCTGAGAGTGCGGGTGGGAGTGTGTCGGTGGAGGAGGTGAGACAGGTAGGGGGGGAGCCAGGTTGTGAAGGGCTTTGAAGGTGATGATGAGTAAATGTAATTAGTAGTGTTTGATTTCCTTTGTTTTCATAATGGCTCCCTGGTCACATTTTTACATGGTCGAAAATAAAGACATCAATCAATCAATCAACGATTTTATTCTGATTTTCTGATTATTTCTGTTAATTCCTTCCATACTGACTGCTGCAACAAAGTGACAAATACCTACCTGTGTCTGAAAGTGATACTTGACAATTGATCTTTTATCTAGCTGCATTTCATCTCCTCTAGATCCAGAAACACCCAGCAATCAATGATACACTACAGGCAAAGTCTCATGTGGTAATTTCAGCTGTCTGCCTTCACGATTGAGTTTATGGAGTCATGATGGAAATTACAGGTTGAGACTGCAGGGCTGTGTGAAGTTTCAGCACGATAACTAGTCATTTCCATCAAGATTGAGATACAATGCAATTTCAAAATCTATTTTTAGTGTGTCCCGGTATTAATCGATGTAAAATGAAAGTACAAAAGAGAGAAAAGAAAGTAAAACAAAAAGAGAAAGTGAGAAGTTCAAGTGGATGGCTTATTCAGCTGATGACCCAGTGAGTATTTTAGACAGTATGAGAACAAAAAGACAAAGTTCAAGGGGGATTCAATATAATATTCTCACACATCAATGTGCTGTATAATAGGGGGTGCTTGGATTAACTAAACTTCTGTTTCTTGGTGAAAAAAAGAAGAATTGTGAGCTGTGAAATTTAACATTCATTCAAACGTTAATGATCAGATTCCTGAATCATTAACCCCGAGGTGAGGTTCACAGAAGACATCAAATATGAACGGGCATAGCTCCCATTAAGCTGTCACAGACACGATTTACACACATCGTCTATTAGAATGATAATGGAAATCATAAAAAAGAGGCTAACAAAGATTAAAGGAGGTTAAATGCTACTTCAGGAGAACAGGTTTTTTTAAGGGTTAGAGGAGTAGAGATACTATCCCTTTGATTTTGATCTCCTCCTCTCCCTGTACTATACTGTTATTGTTATGCACAACAACATGTCTTGGCTCACACAAGTTCTAAATGTGTTTTAATAAATAATACAAAGGAAGATAACACAACATTACTGCCAGTGACCTAAAAAAATAAATGTAAAGAATGTTTATAAGTCTAGACATTTGTTCAGCCCATTACATCTAAACTAAAGATCCAAATCCAGATCCATGTTTTGAGAAATAGCTGTGACTAGGCTGTATAACAATGTTTTCTTCTCTTATTTTTCCAAACGCATTGCCAGCAGAGTAAATTACACCTTATTACAAAAGTACATCGTGTTACCATTATATTTACTTTAATGATCTTGTTTTTTTTTATTCCTGCAAAAAGCTGAAACACATGTTTTTCTTTCCGGCTGCCAACAATATATTACATATCCAGCATGTTTCATGTGATGGTTGATAAAGATGCAATGACAATGAAAGGACAGTTACAGTTTTGATGATCAACGTTGTTCAACAGGTGAACTTTGAAGGAAGTGGTTTATATTTGGTAAGTTTTGTAGAATAGTTTGGAGGGGTTAAGAAATAGTGGGAATGGTTTGTTAGTTGATAAATTGTCACAACCGTATATTGTTTGTGTTGTATATGAATGTTTAAAACAAATGTTTAAAATGCCAATGTGAACAGATAATAAATATAAATGAAAACAGTTTCGTTTTACAGAAGTCCTTCATTAATTTGTTTTAACGGCTGTATAAGTATTTTTTTCTGATGTGTAAAGCTTTTTCAAACTGTTACTGAGCAATGAACAAATAAAACATTTCATTTGTCCCCTTTGAAAGCATGATGCTTATTTATGAGAACAGTTTGGATGAGTCTACAGTCTGTGCTCTGTGGATGGAAAAGCAAATTTTATTCCTCCAATGTGTTGGGCTGGCACTCCGCTAAAAGGCAATAAAACAACACAGCCATCTCCTCGATGGTGTTGTTAGCTCTGAGTGGCGCGTGTGTGATTGACGGCACATGTCAGCCAAAGATTGACCTTTACTGATCACATGTCAGCGGCCGGCTCGTATATCACAGACCTGTGCAGAGCCACGGGTCACAATGGGCACCACAACTCGTAAACTGCCATAATAGTCCAATGTAAACACACACACCCTCTCACATGCGCACACACACACACACACACACACACACACACACACACACACACACACACACACACACACAAAGAAATCTCTGCAGCAAGTTTTCCAAAAAAAAAAAGAGTGATAAG